CGGCTGCCCCTGAAGGAGAAGCTCCACGGAGCTAGAAAACTAGAGTTTCCAACGCTCCGCCTTCAAGATATTCCTGTTTTGCTGCGGTTCAAGACAAATCTTCAAACAGCGGCACAAGAGTGGGCTCTGGTGGAAGCCGATCGGATCTGCAGCGGTGCCACCGAGCGCAGGGGAACCCAAGCCAAAGGCTTTTTTGCCCGCAGCTACCAGAAGTCACTTCTTTTTAGCCGTAATACTAGGTTAGCCTGATGCATTACACCCTGAAAACCCGAGTTCTCACGCACACGCTTTTGGACTTTAGGTCTTTTATCACATACGATCTTACTCAAATCTTTCAGAAAAAGGAGAACGGGAATAGCGGCTTTTCCGAGGTCTTTTCCTAAATGTGGACTTAAGAGAAACTGCAGTCAAAACACTCGGTCCCACTTCAGAGCTGTAACACACCGACCAACCAACTTTCAGATACGGAAGCAGGACAAGATAAGGAAAGACAGCAAATAGCTGCTCAGGGCAGCGACACCACTAGTAAATGTGCAACCACAGTGGAAACATTAGAGCTTGGGTTCTTTCCCCAAAAATCAGGATTTCAGCCCACTTACGCTTAAGAATTGACACTTAAAGTCTGAACCTGGCAAAAGTAGCATCAGGTGGGCAAAAATTGCACCATACAAAATTCAGAGGAACTTTAAAAACATTGTAAAAATCCAATCACTACCGTTCAAAAGCCATTTCCTTGTAACTTGGAGTTTGATCAACACAGACAACAGAAAATGTCCTGTCAGCTTCAACAGCCTTTGAATCGGGACTACAAAACACAAAACAACAGAAGAGATAATGTCAGAGAGAAAACAAATCTAGGAGGAAAAAAAGAAAAAAAAGAAAGAAAAATGTATCAAAGTGACAGTCAGATAGCTTGTTTCCACATTCCAGTTTATAAACACAGCCTGAGCTATTTCCCAGTGTACAGTTATCCACTGGAAAGAGCCCAGCAAGGTTCTCGGTGCAGAACTCCCACCTGTGGTAGGCTCTTCATGGACCAACTTGAAGAAAGTGGTATTAGGGACCACCAGCAAGTAGGTCAGTACTTACTCAGACCCAGTTACCTGCTCCTGAGGCCAATAGCTCCACGTCATCACGCTTCGCTTCTTCATTCCTCATCACATCGCTGCTTTCAGCACAGGCAGCCCCTCAAATCATTACACAGGGCAAATGAGAGGAGGGTCAGGGAGAAGAAAGAGGCTTTTTGGTTCGGAGGTGGGGTTTTATTTTCCTGCAGTAAGGAGCCATCCCTTGTTCTAACTAGATGAAAATCCAACATACGTAAGAAGGCATCTCATGTCTAGTAACCAAGGCAGATGAAGCTGGCGAGAAAGCTCTCACCAGAGAGTAATCCCTTCTCCAAACTATTAACTTACTTTGTGTGTTACTGCAAGGATATGGTTGAGAAGTTTCATTTCCCTCGGGGAAAATAAAAGTTATTTCTTGCACACCTCAATTACGCGTTCCTGAGCTAACGAGGTCTAAGGCAAAGACCGAGCCAAGTTATCCTTGGAGACAAAGAACTGTTAAGTTCTGGTTGAGGCAGTCTTTTCCCTCCTCCCCAAAACACCCAGCAGCATGCCCAACCCCTAACAAAGTGGAGTAACACGGTATTTGCTGCAATAGGCTGCAATGTTCTTCACGGCGACAGTTCACGACTAAGGCCGGCTCATTAAAAAAAGCAAATTCCCAGCCTACCCTCTCTGGGGCACACGGTCAGACTTTGATCCTCCACACACAACAAGACACCCACACCTGAACTAGGGAACCGATCGGGGACCTGAAGTCCAAGGTCTGGAGCTCTTCAGATGGGCCAAGTCACGAGAACTTGAACGAGAGCCACAAACCTGCTCAGATAGGTCTTCCTTTACTCACCCCTACTCCCAGTTCTACTCAACTGCTCAAGTTTTCCTGTCTGGGGAATGGCAAAGATCAGGTATACAGACTCAAATTCATCTTTGGAATTCCCCGGCAAGCTTCATGATGGCCTTACGAGAACTACACTATTAAGAAAAACACACATAAAAGTGGTCAAATATACTATTTTTTTAATGCAGATTTGTAAAATATAAGCTGTTTTGAAAATTCAGGACATTTCATGAAAGAGCATTTGGTCCTCTTAAAAATTTCCCATCCCCAATTAAATACTTCATGGAAAAACAACAATTAAGCATACATTGCATTTTTAATTAGGAAAAGTTGATATTGCACATTATACCAAGAAATACAAAAGTCTGTTTCAGCAAGTTATTCCAGCAGTGTTACCAATTTCGATATCATTGACTTATACACAAGTTTCAATTTTAGTGCATAACACGTGCCCTGTCCTTACAGAGTAAAATCATATCAAAGCATTTTTAAAACAAAGAGGAAGCACAGCTGGCTCCTTACAGAATAAAAAGCCTTTTACCACGTAGTCAGCACCAGTCTCCTGGTAGACAAACCCCGTTCCTA